TATCCAACGCTAGATAGGCCCTTTGTGTCTGGCTTCTCTCACTTAGATGTTTTCAGAGCTCGTTTATGTCACAGCATGGCTCGCTACTCCCAAGTAATATTCCATTGTAACATCTGCAGAAAAGAGTGGATCTTTGAAAAGGAAAAGGATCTCAGGACAGGGTGGCCTGGCTGTCACATCGAGTCAGTGGTTGGGCTGTGGCTGATTCCGAGGGCAGGCAACAGAGGCTTGGGGCTCCAAGGGTCTCGGACTCTGGAGAGCCACAGTGAGCCATAGAAAAGATTTTGAGCAGGGGAGGAACAATACATGAACAGAGATGGCAGCATAGAAAGGGTGCTGCCTATGAACTGATGGGAAGGAGGGCAGGACCTTGAACCCAGGTGTGGCTGGCTCCACAGCCTGTCCGTGACCCTAGACTGCCTCCACCATCAAGGGGAAGTTGGGTGAACACCTGTTGCTGTCTGCTGGCTTTGACGGTCAGCAGTTCACGTGCGGGTGTCCCATTGAATCCCCAGGGAAGCTGGAGAGGAAGCTGCTGTTAACATCCTCGATACACATGACCTCGCTGGGGCTGGGACGAGTTGGGTCCTGCCCCTGAGATCTTGAAACTCACATTGAGCTAGACGCTGCTCCCAGCACTTTGCATGTATTTATTCTTTCAAGCCATACAACCACCCTTTAAGGTGGGGATTTTTAGGATCCCCGTTGTGCAAAAAAGAAAACAGAGGCACGAGGTAGTTAAGAGACCTGCTCAGTGTGGCGGAAGCCTAGGAGCAGGTGGCATTTATTAGGCGCTCACGGCATACGGGGCATTTATTACCCTATGCGCCTTAGATGGATACACTCACGTAATCCTCATGGCGGCCCTTTGAGGTCGGCGGGTTTGATCCCCCTCCTCCTACAGATGAGGAAACCGAAGCACAGAGAGAGGAAGTCACTTGCCCAAGGTCACTTGACTAGTGGGAGGAGAGGCTTGGATCTGAACCAGCATTCAGTTTTGTCTGGAATGCCACGGAGGGGCGTGGTGGTGGGGACCCTGGGTGGGGTGCAGCCTTAACACTCCTTCAGACCCTCCACCCCACGCCCTCTGCAGGTGAAGCTGTGCGACTTCGGCTTCGCGCGCATCATCGGCGAGAAGTCGTTCCGGCGCTCGGTGGTGGGCACGCCTGCCTACCTGGCGCCCGAGGTGCTGCTCAACCAGGGCTACAACCGCTCCCTGGACATGTGGTCGGTGGGCGTGATCATGTACGTCAGCCTCAGTGGCACGTTCCCCTTCAACGAGGATGAGGACATCAAAGACCAGATCCAGAACGCCGCCTTCATGTACCCAGCCTGCCCCTGGAGCTGCATCTCCTCCGGAGGTGGGCGGAGGCGAGGGGCGGAGGGCGCGGAGGGGGCGGGGCCGGAGGGGCGGGGCCGCAGAAGAGGTGGAGCCCTGAAACAACTATGGGGGTGGAGCCTAGCGACGGGTGGGGCCACGGGGAGGGCGGTCCTTTAAAAGGTGAGGTGCCCTGGACCTGGAGCCTTGGGGCGGGGACTCAGGGGTTTGTGTGGAACCAGTCAGGCCTGGTTCCTAGTTCACAGGAAACGAAGTGTTCCAGAAGCAGGGGACAGACGGCGCCTTGGGGCCTGAGCGAGGTTTGGCTGGTCTAGGGCAGGACCAGGAGAGGGACCGCTGGACCTGAGGAAACCAAACAGCTGGGGTGGCCAGAAGAGGCAGATCCTTCCTCCCATGACATTGGCTGGGGCCTGGAGGCTTTGGGGTTATGACCCCGGAAGGGTTAGCCTTGCAAAAGCAGTGGCTCCGGAGGGCAGCTCATTTGCTGGGTGCCGGGCTGACTTGGGCCTGGGGCCAAGGGGGCAGGTCCAGCGATGGAGGGGATTGGTTTAGGGGCGTGGCGAGAGGAGGGGCAGGGCCATGGAGGGTTTCTGAATCTGTCCAGAAGGACCTGTCCTGGGACCAAAGTCACCTGAACCTAGAAGCGGGTGGGAATGGGGGGCGCATAGTGAGGGGAGCCAGGCCTGAGACGGACAGTGGGATTCGGGGGCTTCAGCGTTGTGGCCGGGTAGTGACACTTGGTCTTGTGACTTGGGCCCCAGGAGGCTTGTAACTTTGGGGCCCCAGCCAGGTGTGGGGACGCGCCTACGGCGGGGCTAAGATACTGGGGCACGTGAGGGGGTTGTAAGAACAAGGGGGCAGGTCCCAGAGCCGGGGAGCTCAGGAAGACAGAGTATGCGAGGGGGGCTAAGAAGACAATCACTATTCAGAACAGTTTATGCAACAACTACCTGCTGAGTGCCTACTATGTGCCCAGCACTGACTGTCCTAGGTTCTGGGAATACTGGGATGAATAGGAGAGAAGGGATCACGTGAGGAGAAGGTTGCGAAGAGAAGGTTGTGGAGGAAGGAAGGGCCCTAGAGGGATGTGGCCTCATGGAGCAGGCAGGGCGGGGGCCGGGGAGGAGTGCCGTGGGGGTTAGTGCAGAAAAAGGTGGCAGTGGTGGGCCTGAGACAGGTAAGCACGGAGTGATAAGAATGTGCATTCTCGAGCGCTAGAGTAATACTGGGGGGTCCTCAGCGTGGTCTTTTGGGACCCACTCAGAAGTCTCAGTAAGAGTGAATCTGGTGTGGATGGCCATGTGTGAGGGAGGCCGTGTGGGTAAGGCCTGTACTCAGAGGGGTTCACACAGTGAGGCCTTGTTCTTCAAGGCTTCTGATCAAGGAGACAGCCTTGGACGAGTGATGGCTTGTCTTGAGTGCCTGACACTCGCCAATTCTCCTTTTCCTAAAAGACAGGCCGGTCTCTGGGCCTTCTGCAGGAAACCGCTGGCTGACTACCGTCGAATAAGTTTGTTTTATTTTCATTTTATTTTTGTGCGCCTGGCAAGTGATCTTTGGATTTTCATTGACCAGGGTGATGTAATATTTTCATTTTCACCTTGAAAAATGAATTTTTAAAAAGTGAAGTGATGTGAAACCGAATGCTGTCGATTTTTGTTTAAATACTCCCATGGCTCAAATTTTTAAGTATACAGAATGGGAGGGGGGCGCCTGGGTGGCTCAGCCGGTTGAGCCTCCGACTTTGGCTCAGGTCATGATCTCGCGGTTAGTGAGTTCGAACCCCGAGGTCGGGCTCTGTGCTGACAGCTCAGAGCCTGGAGCCTGCTTCGGATTCTGTGTCTTTCTCTCTCTCTGCTCCTCCCCCCTCTCAAAAATAAATATTAAATATACAGAAGGATCTATAGTGAAAATTCTCAGTCCTTTGTTATTCTTCCCAAAGACCATGGCTATTACAAGTCTTTTTACAAGTCTGGGTGGCTCAGTCAGTTAAGTGTCGACTCTTGATTTGGGCTCAGGTCATGATCTCCTGGTTCGTGGGATCGAGCCCCTCGTTGGGCTCTGTGCTGACAGCGTGGAGGCTGCTTGGGATTCTCTCTCTTCATCTCTCTGCCCCTCCCCTGCTCACACTCTCTTTCCCCCTCTCAAAATAAATACACAAACATTTTTTAAAAAGTTATAGGGGCACCTGGGTGGCGCAGTTGGTTAAGTGTCCAACTCTTGATTTTGGCTCAAGTCAGGATCTCA